TATATATATGTGCGTGTGCATGTGAGTGTAACAACATTGTGACGACTTCATTTGAACTTTATACTGACTTGTGACGACAGGACCTACATTTGGACGACCCTCACTATTTTCATAATAATAATAATCAAATTTAAGTCAAGTTTCCTTAACTTAGGTTTAGTAAATGGGGGAAGCTATGGTTTAATTTATATTATTTATATAATTGTACCATACCTTTCCTTTTTACCAAGCCTAAGCTTCGCAAACATTTTTAAGTTATGTCACTGGATATTCAACCTCTATTTCATTAAACTCGAATAAAATCGCAATTCTATATTGAATTGCATTGTAATTGAGTTTAATTAAACTCTAATTAAAATGCAACCCTATATAGGAACGCGTTTAATCAAGTTCATATTAAAACTATATAAAAAAATAATCCAATGTGTGTCGTCACAACAATTGTATGAAGTGGATGCATGTGCGTTTTTGTGTCTGTTTGTCCGCTCCACTAATATCTCATTGGATTTTAATAAAACTTTGGACTAATGCACAGATTTGATTATTTTTGGGTAAAAACATGTGCATATTAATTACCTAATTTGCATAATGATTAGTCAATTTCTTGCTTTTCCACTTTTACTAATTATCACATTTCAATGAAACTTGGTACATAGATGTCATACGACATTGCACAGACCTGATAGTTTTTAGGTTACTATCTGTGCATATTAATTACCTAATTTGCATAATTAATCAATTTCCAGATTTTGATATTTCAAGTACTAAACATTACATTTCAATGAAACTTAGTAGATAGATACTCTAGGACTATGCAGAGACAGATTATTTTCGAGGTAAATATTTGTGCATATAATATTAATCACCTCATTTGCATAATTAGTTCATTTTTAGCTTTTTCACTTACATTTCAATGAAACATGGTACACAGATGGTCTGTGACATTGTGCTCACTTGTTTGTTTTACACTAAAATCTGTGCATATTAATTACCTGATTTGTATAATTAGTACATTTTCAGCTTTTCCATCGATATCTCAAGTACAAGTAATATTGAATTAATTTTTAATGCATCTCTAAGACTTTGTATACGCAGGAGTTGTTTCTAAGCTTTCTTTGATTTTTATGTTAAAATACTGTTTTCAAAGCTAAAAATGGAGACTTATGGATTGTGTGTGCCGCTGTGTGCAAGTCAGGACCTATATCTTAGAAATGCCTGGGTCGATTACATTTAAACTTCACGCATAACATAATACGTAATATTATGCATATGCATATCAATTTTGTGCTGAAAAATCAGCGAAATCAAACATTTCAAACTTGGTACATACATTGAAAATTATGGGACTTTTGTTTTTCAGATCCGATTCAAAATTGCTGACTGGCAACCACTTTTTTTAATGAATGTGGTTCTAGTGCCATATCTCCAATGCTTTGACTTACTATGTTTAAATTTCAAATATTCATTATACATCATGTCATGGATATACAGATTTATTAGTTTGACAATCAAATTATATGAAAGGTGGATATTTTAGTGCTAAAAATTATAAAAGTCAAGCATTTTAGGCATTCCCGAACCAGATCTTTGACGTTTATGTATTGATTTTGTTCACACTTGTACATTCATTAGACATTATGATACATGTCATTTTGTTTTTCAGACCCATATCTCTGACATGCTTTGACTAATTATGTTAAAATTTTATATTCTTTATACATCATATCATAGATATACAGATGTATTCAAAATGGCCAACAGGTGGCCATTTTTACCTTGCCCGTACCATCAAAGATGGAAGGGAAAGGTATATTAAGGGAAAAATTTTGTCCGGCGTTGTCGTTGTTGTCATCGTCGTCGTTAATAATTGTTATTGTGTGCATAATAACTTTGCTAATTCTATTCCAAACTTTATCAAACTTGGTCACCTTATTCATCAGTATAAAGTCTTCCCTGAGTTTGAACAACAGATGTCCTGTATGAAAATATCATGCAAAAATTAAGAAAATCTGATAAAA